AATTTGAGGTGGTACAAGCTTCCTATGGCATCAGGTACTATAGACATATTGTCAACACGCATCTCCAAGTACAACACATATAGATGTTGGAACACATTACGGAACTTTATAGGACCCATATTTAAACAATCCGGATCAAGGAACATAAGTGACCTCAACTTCAAGTTGGAAAGATCAAGTGTGAGATACCTTTTTCCTTGACTATGAATGGCATGTCTGAGACACAAGGAGGATATGGAGTGCTTTCTTGGATCATAAATGTCAAAAGAGTTTACCTCCAATGCTTTTGTACAGCAAGATCGCGAAGTAGATCATGAATCCTACATTTACTAACTTTTTCCCAAAATGTTCGTACCACTTGTATCAAGCTTCGTCTTATCAGTTCATTCAAGAAGCCTTCAGCAACATCCTCCATGATTTCTTCTCCTGTTGGTATGAATCCTTCAGCCATCCACAACCATAATATGTGATCAACATGGACCTCATGATCTTCTGGAATAATACCAAAGTACAGGAAACACTGCTTGAGCTCAGTTGGCAAATCGTTGTAGCTCAATGATAGTATGTAGGAAATTTCAATAGAGTCATCTTTAATGTGCTGCCAAAGGTGGTCCTTCACCCTTTGCCATTCTTCTAGACCCCTTTTATGTGAAAGTAGTCCGCTTAATACAACAATTGCAAGAGGTAAACCTCCACACCTGTCCACCATATCCTTAGCTAACCTTTCCATTGCTGAGACCATTGCCTGAACATCTAGTAGTTTCCTACAAAAGAGATCCCAACTTTCTTCTTGGCTCAGAAAACGAAGTTTATAGACAAAACCTTTGTTATCTGCTCTTTCAGCGACATCTTCTTTGCGCGTGGTAATAACAACTCTGCTGCCATTCTTGCTGTCTGGAAATGCTCGTTTTAGACTTTCCCATGCTTCTCTATGCCATAAATCATCGACCACCACAAGGTATTTGGGTTCTTTTAAAAGATCACGAAGGTAAATTTCTAGATCTCTCTCTGTCATCTTTTCCAACAAATCTAGAGTTTCCTTGGTGCAACCTTGGATGGATTTTATGATATTCCAAAGGAGATCCATGGTGTTGTACTCTTGAGAAACACATATCCAAGCACGTGTAGGGAAGCTAGAGGCAATATTAGGACTGATGTATAGGTTTCTCGCAAGAGTTGTCTTGCCTAATCCGCCCATACCATAAATGGAGATGACGCTTCGGCGAGGCTCTGGTTTGAGAAGTTCAGCTAGCAATGTTTCTACAATATCCTGATAGCCAACAAAAATGTAATCCTGGTCATCATCCACATATGAGGTAGTTCTCCTCAATGTTCTAACCATGTCAGACTGATTGTTTGGGCGATTACTTGGCCCTTCTCCTGCATTATTGATATCTCTAATATCATATGTCTCTCGTTTGCGAGAGATATCCATGATTCGATGCTTGAGTGATTGGATCTCCTTTCTGACGGTGTAGAATTTTGTCTGCTTCCTGCAGATGCAAGTGCAAGCTTTCAGACGACTACCTTTACTAGCCTCGAAGCTATAAGTCTCCAATATAGCAACGGCGTCATTAGCAACAGAGCTGATCTCAAACACCCATTGTTGAACTCTTTGATCTACAACTTGCTTTTGTTCGGCATCTTTGAGGAAAGACTGCACGAAGAACAGCTCATTTCGCAGCCACCGTACATCCTGTCTGAGACTTGAATGCAGGGAAGCTTCCTGTATGAGAAAATCCCCCAGTTTTTGAACTGCAAATGACACAAAGGCATCAACCATCTTAGGCGTTTGGATCTTTACTGTAATGAAGAGATGAAGAAATATGGGAGAAATTCAAATCAAAGTTGGCTGTTAATTGCTGCCTGGAAGAAGTTTGACGCAGAGTTAAGTATATTTAGTTTTCTTTCTTTTTTGATAAAGAAGTATATTTAGTTTACTTTTCTTCTCTTTGATTAAAGCCTCTTTCTCTGCAGTCAATTTTGGCTTTGCATTATTCCATCAGAATAATGATCAGTCAATTGTGGACACATTCCTTTTTTTTACTCTTTCTTGCCTTTTTCAGTGTAGATGTATTTTCAACCACTTAGGGAGTGTGAATAAATCTGAATGATTAAGATCTACTATTAAGATATTTATTTAAAGATTTTTATGAAAATAGTACGTAGTTCAACCATTCCATCATTCAACCTACCGCCTTTATCTAGACGTCCACCGTTTTCAACCATCATTATTAGCCACAATCACCATCACTATCAATCACTACACTCAATTGTCCCTATCACTAGCTGCCATTTACAATCATCTTCACTGACCATCATTACCACGAGTCTACAACAACCACTAATCACCACATTATCTTCATTGTCCCCATTACCATTAATTATCACTATTTTCCAACATAACTATTAACCTCCACTGCCAACACCATCACCACTAGCAACTAATCCCACCCCATCATTTGTCAACACCATCCTTAATCGACTTCCACAAGCATCACTGCTAGTCATCACTGTTTTGAGTTATTATATGTTTGTGGACTATAATTCTATAAAGATTTATTATACCATAATATTCTTGGATAATAATTACAAAAAGTTCATTTCAGAATCTTGAACTTGAAATCTCATACTTATTTAATACTCCTTCGTTTATGACAAGAAACAAAATGTGGGCAGTGGCAGAACAAGAAATTTATATAAGGAGATTTTTAAAAAAAAATCTTGAATGTCACACTTATAATTTAAACACATGACCTAAAGCCAAAACAAAAAGAAACATGCTTATTATTTCTAAAATCTGACTTGCTCCATGTAAATCTCTTGAAATGCTTGGCAAAAGTTCCACACCTGCCAGCTGCTGCTTCTCCTATTCACAAAATTGTAAGACACTATTTAATATGAGGAATAGTATTCAATAAAGAACAAAAGATTTATCAATAACCTAAATTGATGATTAATCATAATGATCAGGACAATATCAAGTGTTAACCAAATAATAGATTGCCAATACAATTCAGTGTGTTTTTGGAATGAAGAAAATCATTTTGTTGATATCTATTGTTTTGTGTAGTTCGATTGTAATATAATTTGGTTGTAGTACTGTTCTGCTTTCATATGTTGTTTTGTTACTACCTATTGTCTCTTCTACTTCCATTATGTCTTTTTCTAGTCTTTTTTGTCTTGAGCCGAGAGTTTATCGGAAATAGTCTCTCTACCTCACCTTTGAGGTGGATGTAAGGTTTGCGTACACTCTACCCTCCCCAAACCTCATTCTGTGGGAATACAGTACTGGGTATGTGGTTGTTGTGATACAAGACAAAATCTCATGCATAAGTGATTTACCTATAGACAATTATTTATAGTTGACTTCTTTTAGTATGTTGATAGTGTATTAAAAAATGTACTGTCATAGTATAAAAATTAAACATTATACTAACAAATCTGCGGCAAAGTGAGTAATTAAAAGGAATTAAAGAAATGTTCATTGGGGATTGGGATTTATTACCTTTACGATTATGAAAGAGCTGAAATAGGACATCATATATGCTTGAAAAGCTTCATTGAAAAGGAGTTCTCTCCACGTTTTTCATTCTATCGGGAATCTCATGTAGCTTTTGACAACGCTGGATACCAAGACCTTTAATCAGAGGCATGGCACTTGTGGCTAAATGCCATCTTTCTAAGTTCTCAAGACAATCAAGACGAAGGATCTCCAGTTGGCTGAAGCTGTTATCACTGCAGGTAATTTCTTTTCCTCCGTAAGCTCTAAACAAATCGAGATTCCTTAGATTTGGCAGCATCCCTAGAGTAGACATGGGATCTTCCATGAGTTCTGAGTACCGAAGGACCATCATGGCAATGGAATTCGGAAACTGCTCTGAGAGAGGCAGTTTTTCTATTTGCCCCTCTAACCCAGGTTCTGACAAGAACTAAGATATTCAAGGTTTGGGAATGATTCATAAGCTACACAACACAATTTTAGAGTGCTAAGGTTTTTCAAGCTGCTAATGTTGTTTAGTGAGTAAGTTTTGGTAATCTCATGCATGCTTAATTCTCGAAGATTGACTAAATCAACAGGGTCAACATCTTTCCACTGATCACAATGGATGCCTTTAAGAACTTGAAGACTAGTGAGTTTGCTTATACGTTTCAGAGGTTTTGAATACGAAGCAACTAAATGCCTTAGATTTATCAGGTCAGCTGTCTCGCGGGGTAGTTGGCAAAAGTATCCATAGTCATTGACAAGAAGTGTCTGTAAATTCTTGAGGTTGCCAATGGAAGAGGGAAGATCATGGATACCTCTAAATCTTAAGAACTTGAGGTGGTACAAACTTCCTATGGCATCAGGTACTATAGACATATTGTCAACACGCATCTCCAAGTACAACACATATAGATGTTGGAACACATTATGGAACTTTATAAGACCCATCTTTAAAAAATCCGTATCAAGGAACATAAGTGACCTAACATTCAAGTTAGAAAGATCGAGTGATAAATATCTTTTTCCTTGACTACGAATGGCATGTCTAAGACACAAGGAGGATATGGAATGCTTTCTTGGATCATAAATGTCAAAAAAGTTTACCTCCAATGCTTTTTGTACGGCAAGATCGCGAAGCAGATCATGAATCCTACATTTACCAACTTTATCCCAAAATGTGCGTACCACTTGTATCAAGCTTCTTCTTATCAACTCATTCAAGAAGCCTTCAGCAACATCCTCCATTATTTCTTTTCCTGTTGGTACATATCCTTCAGCCATCCACAACCATAATATGTGATCAACATGGACCTCATGATCTTCTGGAATAATACCAAAGTACAGGAAACACTGCTTGAGCGCAGTTGACAAATCATTGTAGCTTAATGATAGT